TGGGTGGATGGATGGATGGATGGATGGATGGGTGGATGGATGGATGGATGGATGGATGGATGGATGGGTGGATGGACAGATGATGGATGGTAGATGGATTAATGGATGGATGGATAGATGATGGATGGGTGTATGGATAGTGGGTATATGGATGGATTAATGGATGATTGGGTAGAAGATGATGGATGGGTGGATGGATGGATGAATGCATGGGTGGATTATAGATGGATGGTGGATGATGAATGGATTGGTGGATGGATGATGGATGGATGGTGAAGGGATAGATGAATAGTGGATGAATGGATGGATGACAGATAGATGGATGATAGGTGGATGGATAATAGATGGGTGATAGATGTATGGATGGATAATGGGTGGATGATGGGTGGATGATAGATGGGAGATGGGTGGATAATGGGTGGATAGGTGGATGGATGATAGATGGATCAGTGGATGGATGATGGATGGGTAGATAGATGAGTGGGAGGATGGATGGGTAGATGATGGGTGGATGGTGGATGGATGGTAGATGGGTGATGAGTGGATGAACGGATGGATGGGTGGATAGGAGGATGGATGATAGATGGAAGGGTGGATGGATGAGTGAGTAGGAAGATGGATGGATGGATGATGGATGATAGATGAGTGGGAGGGTGAATGGGTGGATGATGGGTGGATGAAGGATGAATAGATGGGTGGATGGATGATGGATGAATAGACGGGTGAGGGATGGAAGGAGGCAGGGGTGGATGCACACTGGAGGGGTGGTGCCGGTAGAGGGGTGACTGGCAGGCAGAGGCAGAGGAATCCTGTTCCCGGGTGGACGACTCACTTCCTGGCAGGACTGGGGTAGCGAAGGCGGATGCAGGCCCGGCTGTCCTGCACTGGGCTCCGGGAACGGGGAAGGGCAGGGAGCTTGCCAAGGGCGGGGCTCTCCCTCTGGAGCCTCGCAGGACCCCGGCCCTGACTCTGAGTCTCGGTCAGGCCCTGCATGTGCAGCGCGGCGGGCAGCCTGGGCACCTGCGACCCCCGCAGCGGACACTGTCCCTGCAAGGACAACGTGGAAGGCAACTTGTGCGACAGGTGGGTGAGCCGATCGCTGATCACCCGGAGCTGCTGGGAGAGACCTCGGGGGTCACCAGTGAGGCTCCGGGGCTGAGCAGGTGGGGGGGGATGGGCAGCCCCATCAGCCCACTTCCTTCCTGGACTGCCATGGAGTTGCCCTGCAGGAAGCCCCCCCCAACCCCAGGCTGTAAGGCAGTGTTAACACCCTACCCACATGCCATCGATGCTTCGTGAGCTGAGAAAATCTTTTTCTCCAACTCAGAATACTGAAAATAAAAAGACAGACTGGAAAGAACTGTGTAGCCCAGGCAGAAAGGCAGGGCATGCTGGCCACTACTCTCCCATCTCACCTCAGGGCAGACATAACTAATGGAGCCATGTACTCTTTACAACCTTCCCTCTCACTTCAGGACAGACATAACTAATGGAGCCCCATCCTCAGGGCACACAGTAACCTCAGCATACAACTGAGTTGAGATCTGAGCCATCCGTGCGATCATCAGGCAAAGGTTACAAGGTTCTGGAGGCCGCCAGACAAACCTGGTTTTGCCTCCCAGGGGACACAGCCTCCTCCTGGCTCTGGGTCTGACATCAGAAGGGCTGTGCCACACCAAAGCCGAGCGTCTGGCCCCGAGCCTCGAGTCTCGCTTAACCTGGGCTGCCCAGATCTCCTGTTGGCAGGGTCTAAAAAAAAAAAGCCCCAGAGAGATTGTAAGAACCTAGAAAGAAGCCAGGCGCCGGTGGCTCACGCCTGTCATCCTAGCTACTCAGGAGGCTGAGATCTGAGGATCGCGGTTCAAAGTCAGCCCGGGCAGGAAAGTCCGTGAGACTCTCATCACCAATAAACCACCAGAAAACTGGAAGTGGCGCTGTGGCTCAAGTGGTAGAGCGCTCGCCTTGAGCTGAAGAGCTGAGGGACAGCGCCCAGGCCGAGTTCAAGCCCCACAACCAAAAAAAAAAAAAAACAACCCAGGGGGCTGGGAAGGTGGCTCAGTGGTTGAGTGCTTGCCTTGCATGCGTGAGGCCCTGCGTTTGATTCCTCAGCACCACATAAGCAGAAAAAGAAGTGGCGCTGTTTCTCAAGTGGTAGAGCTGTAGCCTTGAGCTGAAGAGCTGAGGGATAGCGCCCAGGCCCAGAGTTCAGGCCCCATGACTGACCAGGAAAAAAAAAAAAAACAGACAGAGGCTGTCACAGCTGGGAGGAGGGCTGGGAAGATGGCTCAGTGGTAGAGCGCTTGCCTTGCATGCATGAGGCCCTGGGTTCGATTCCCCAGCACCACATAAGCAAAAAGAAAAAACGCCGGAAGTGACACTGTAGCTCAAGTGGTAGAGCGCTCGCCTTGAGCTGAAGAGCTGAGGGACAACACCCAGGCCCAGAGTTCACGCCCCACGACTGACAAAACAAAAAACAAAAAAACAACCACATCTGGGAGGAGGCTGGAGCTTGTGAGTTCCTGGACATGAGGCCAGCACGGGGGGCGCCGGGTTGCTCTCATGCCCCTTCTGCCATTCCCAAAGGGAAGCGTTCATTTCAGCTGCCCCCCCCCGCCCCCAGCCCTGGCCCCCCTCTGGCCCCGCATCACCGCGCCCTCGTGGGCTGCTCCTGCCTTCCTTACAGATGCCGCCCGGGCACCTTCAACCTCCAGCCCTACAACCCCACCGGCTGCACCCCCTGCTTCTGCTTTGGCCACTCTACCGTGTGTGCTGTGGCCCCCGGCTTCCAGACCCAGCCCGTCATCTCAGACTTCCGCCAGGGTAAGCAGCCCCTCTGGTGGAGTACTACTCACCTGTGAAGATTAGCGGGGGCCAGCCGCTCACATATAGAATCCTAGCTACTCAGGAGGCTGAGATCTGAGGATCGCAGTTCAAAGCCAGCCCCGGCAGGAAAGTCAGGGAGACGACTCTCACCTCCAATGAACCACCAGAAAACTGGAAGTGGCGCTGTGGCTCAAGTGGTAGAGCGCTCAGCTTGAGCTGAAGAGCTCAGAGACAGTGCTCAGGCCCAGAGTTCAAGCCCCACGACCGACACCAACAACAGAACAAAAAAGATTAGCCGCCTTGATCACCCCCACACTGGGGATTTGGGCCCAGCCCCTTGGTGTCCCTCATTCCCTGAGGCCGCCCGGGGTACCTGAGACCTCCTGAGCACAAAGCCTCTGTGGGGGCTTCCAGGGGCTCAGCCACATCTGCCCCAAATCAGAGCCAGGCCCCACCCAGGACACCCACCTGCGGCCTCTCCTTCGGGAGACTGGACCTGGGCTGGGGCTCCAGGGCCCAGCGTGGGGGGAGCGCGCCCTCTGCTGGAGGCTGTGCAGAAAGCAGCTTGGTGCCAGGGGGGAGCAGTCATGGGTCCCTCTCAGGCCACGCCCACCCCTGTATGACTGCGCTGGTACTGACTCAGGCTTGTGCCTGCGGGGCAGGTGTTCGGCCACGGAGACACCTCTCCAGCCCAACCCCTCCCATCTTTTTTTTTTTTTTTTTTTGCACTGGTGATTGTGAGACATAGTTTTCTGCTGGCCCCATGCCTGGACTGTGATCCCCCAGATCTCAGCCTCCTGAGCAGCAAGGCTTACAGTAGCAAAGGGACACAAATGTGAGAAGCATGTCACTTTGTTTTTTGACGGTCATGGGGCTTGAACTCTGGGCCTGAGCACTGTCCATCAGCTCTTCAGCTCAAGGCTAGCGCTCTACCACTTGAGCCACAGCTCCACTTTCAGCTTTTTCTGCTTATGTGGTGCTGAGGAATCGAACCCAGGGCCTCATGCATGCAAGACAAGCACTCTACCACTGAGCCACCTTCCCAGCCCCCAAGCACTTTGGGCCTGGTACATTAGGGTCTGGCTTAGCTCCTCAGCCCCGTGTGTCATCATCAGTGGGACGGCATGCGCCATGCAGCCCTGGCGGCTGCGCAAATCGCTCCTGATACAAGAAAGAGGTCATTTGCCAGGCTTGGCAGCTGACACCTGCAGTCCCGGCTGCTCAGGAAGTGAAGATTAGGAGGGCTGTGGCGCAAGGACAGCCTGGGCAAAAGCAAGACCCTCATCTCAGCCAGACTTGGCAGAGCACTTCGTGTCTGTGGCCCAGCTGCTGGGAGATGGAGGGAGGAGGATCAGGGTCCAAGGCTGGTAGGGCAAAAAGCTTCCCTATCTGAGAAACTAAAGCAAAAAGGTGAGCGGGTGTGGTGGCTCACGCCTCTAATCCTAGCTACTTAGGAGGCTGAGATCTGAGGATCATGGTTCAAAGCCAGCCTGGGAAAGTTTCCTAGGGACTTCCTTGAGTCCAGGAGACTCTTATCTCCCATGAACCACCAGAAAAGCGGAAGTGGTGCTGTGGCTCAAGTGGTAGAGCATTAGCCTTGAGTTAAAGAGCTGAGGGACAGCGCCCAGGCCCAGAGTTCAAGCCCCACGACTGGCAAAAAGAAAAAAAAAAGAAAAAGGTTCAGGCTCAGAAACTTTAAGTAACTTCCCAGAGTCACACAGCCCTGGGAGCCTCAGCGAGCACTGAGGCTCCTCCTTGCTGACGGCCCCCTTTTCCCCTCCCCCTCTCCCGGGAGGGTGCCACAGTGGCCTGGAGGCACCGGCTCTGGGCCAAGCTGAGACCAGGGACCAGAGGCCTGGGTTTCCATCCTGACTGGGCCCTCCCGGGGCACAGGGATGCTGATACTTGTACCTGGAAGGAGAGAAAGCTCCAAACACTGGGTCAGGTCTGGTGTTTTCCTTAGAGGTGAATGACCCCAGGTCTCAAGGCTTGCATCTTCATGTGGACTCAGAACCCTTCTGAGGCTGAGTGTGGTGGCTCACACCTGTAATCCCAGCTACTCGGGAGGCAGAAACCAAGAAAATCATGGTCATAGGCCAGCTTGGGCAGAAAAAAACAAAAGCTATTGAGACTCTATCTCAACCAATAAGCTTGGTGTGGCCCTATACTCCTGTCATCCCAGCTAGTAGAATCATGGTTCAGGCCAGCGTAGGTATCAAAGCAAGAGACTATCTGGAAAATGAAGTGAAAAGGTACAAGCATGAAGCCCAAAGTCGGCTGGGGGAGCCGAGCCGAGCCGGCGGACGCCCGAGTTCCCACTGCGGGGCCTCCTCCCTCCCTCACGCGGCTCACACTCCTGTTCTGTGCTTCTGCCTAGGAGCGGACGGCTGGCGGGCCACGGGCAGCGGGGGTTCGGAGCGGTCCCCACGATGGAGTCCCAGTGGGGTGCTCTTGGGCCCCGGAGACGAGGAGCTCAGGGCACCAGGTATCTGTGCCTGGTGGGGTGTGTGGTGACACAGGTGGGGAGGAGGGTTCGAAGCCAGCCCAGGCAGGAAAGTCTGTGAGACTCTTGTCTCCAGTGAACCATCCAAAAGTCAGAAGTGGAGCCATGGCTCAAGTGGTAGAGCACCAGCCTTGAGCAGAAAAGCTCCGAGACAGCGTCCAGGTCAAGTTGAAGTGCCAAGGATGAGTGAGCGCACACACACACACACACAGACACACACACAGACACACACACACAGACACACACACACACACCTCAGCGTGGTGGAGATCCTCACACGCTCCCCTCTGGCCTCCAGAGCGGTTCCTGGGGGACCAGCGGCTCAGCTACGGGCAGCCGCTCACACTGACCCTCCGCGTCCCCCCCGGGGCACCCCCACCCCCCGTGCGGCTGAAGCTGGGAGGAGCCGGCCTGGCCCTGGCCCTGAAACCCTCCAGCTCCTCTGGACCCCCGGGGGCCGGACAGCCGGGGCTGCTGCAGCTCCACTTCCTGTAAGTGTGCCCGCCCTTGGCCTGGGCCGGGGTGGGCAGCGTGCTCTCCCGGGGCGGGCACTGGGCCCAGCCCCTGCGTGGGGGGGACTTCAGCACCCATGGCTTCCCCTCCAGCCTGCAGGAGACGTCTGAGGACGCCGGCCCCCCACTGCCTGCCTTCCACTTCCAGAGGCTGCTCACCAACCTGACCGTCCTGGGCATCCGGGCCAGCGGCCAAGGCACGAGCACTTCCGGTCAGTAAGATGGCAGCCAGCCTGGCCCTGGCTGGCCTCCGTTGTGTATGGCCATGAAACCCCCTGAAGTGGCCATGAGGCTCAGATCAGCACACAGCCATGGCATGGGGCGGTGGCCGGGGACAGAGCTAGGGTCGGGCCATGGGGGCGGGGGGGGGAGGGGGGCAGGCAGGGGGGTCAGCCTGCGGCAAGGACTGACTGTTAGGTCCAGCACCGACGGCTCTGTGCCCACATTGCCCCCTCCTGGTCACTGGGGGTATTGCATCCCAGCCACCCTGGAGCAGAACTCCTTTGTCAGTTCCCAAAGGATCAGTGAAGGTGCTTGATGTGGATGACCTTTGACCTGTCCATGGTTATGGACCGCCCCCCCCCGCCCCTGTGTGCACAAGTACACACCTGTAAACCCACTACATGAGAAGCATAAATGGAGAATTGTAGTCCAGGCAGGCCTAGGTTGAAATGGGAAACTCTACCTCAAAAATAGCCAAAAACCAGCCAGACACAGTGGTTAAAGCCTGTCATCCTAGCTACTCAGGAGGCCGAGATTGGGAGACAGAAACGTTGGTGGACTCCAGCTCCACCAAAGACCACAGGTGGTGGTCAGGCACAGAGCCACCCCCTGGCTTGAAAAGAATCCATTTCAGGGCTGGGAAGGTGGCTCAGTGGTAGAGCGCTTGCCTTGCATGCATGAGGCCCTGGGTTCGATTCCTCAGCACCACATAAGCAAACAGAAAAAAGCCAGAAGTGGCGCTGTGGCTCAAGTGGTAGAGCGCTAGCCTTGAGCTGAAGAGCTGAGAGACAGTAACCAGGCCCAGAGTTCAGGCCCCACGACCGGACCCCTCTCTCCCCCCAGAAAAAAAAAAAGAAAAAAGAAAAAAATCAATTTCAGAGGGGACTGGCGGAGTGATTTGTGATAGAGTGCCTACTTTGCCAACAGGAGGCTCTGAGTTCAAAGCCCAGCACCACCCCCTAACAAATTCAGATACCTCGTTCCTGTGTGTAAGGTGAAGTAGAAGGCTGAGTGTGGTGATTCATACCTGGAATCCCAGCAACTTAGAGGGCAAATAACTAAATGGAAAGGGCTGGTGGGTGGGACTCCTGTGGCTCACCCCCTCCTAGGTACCAGGATCTGAGAAGACAGACCAGGCAGACAAACACTTGAGACTCTCAGCTCCAATTAACCAGCAAAAACAAGAAACTGGGGTGTGGTTCAAGTGGTAGTGTTTCACAGGAACTAGATCAGCGAGATGCAGAGAAGCTACATTGTGAGAGTCTTTATTTGAAAGTCGGTGACTGTGGTCTCCTGTCCCAAAGACCTGCAGCCCCAAGTGCAGTTATTACAGAACTTACAAGCCAAAAAAAAAAAAAAATGCCCACACCCAGGGGCTGGGAAGGTGGCTCAGTGGTAGAGTGTTTGCTTAGCAGGTATGAAGCCCTGGGTTTGATTCCTCGGTACCACATACACAGAAAAAGGCTGAAAGTAGTGCTGTGGCTCAAGTGACAGAGCACTAACCTTGAGCAAAAGAAGCTCAGGGACGGCGCCCAGGCCCTGAGTTGAAGCCCTAGGACTGGCCAAAAAGAAAAAAATACACACCAAGGCAGACATCACATGGTCTAGGGACTAGCAAAGCTTCTTCTACGGGAGAAAGTTATCTAGGAGGAGCAATCTAGGACAACCAAGGATAATTGTTCTCTGGGACAAAACTTTCCTGGTGCTAAACAACTGGAAAGAGCACCACCTCGGGGCTGCTTACCCACCCACCACAGAGAGTCCTCTGGAGTACTGGGAACGGGGTGGAAATTCCCCAGCATCTGTTAAGACGCCAATGGCGATGAGCGCAAGATGGCGGTACTTAGATCATCCAGGATCCATATTTCAGTAGAACACCCAGTGTGAGCCTCCAAGCTGGGTCCGGGTGTTTACAGTGGACAGTTCTCCCTGTGGGTCTCCTGCAGGGTGCTTGGCAGTCACATGACCGATGTCTGCTAATGCCTCTGCTAGCATTTGTTACAAGGGGTTGGGGTTAGCCCGGAGCTCTCTGTGTGCGTGCATGTGGATGTGTGTGCGTGCGCGTGCGCACACGCTATTCCTGGGGCTTGAATTCAGGGCAGAGGTATTGTCCCTTAGCTTTTTGGCTCAAGGCTGGCACTCTACCACTTGAGCCACGCCTTCATGTCCAGCTTTCTGCTGGCTAGTTGGGCCCTCTGCGCCTCTACCGTGCACTGTCAGCAGAGATCCCCCGTCTGTACTCCCAGGATCCACGCTGGATTTTCAGATGTCAGCGTGTTCTCATTGGCTGGGGTGGGAAGCACTTGCTGTCCAAGAGGTTTCACATCTCCGTGTCCATTCGCTGCTCTCGCATCCAGGCCCCTCTGTGAAGAATGCACTTCTCAGAATCAAGGCCTCTTGTAGCACCTAGAACTTTGGGGACCACCTGAAGCTTTGCCTGCAGGTAGCACGTGGCTCTGAGTACCCTCCAAGCTCTGGCACCCCCTTTCTCCCTTAGTTTTTGGTCTGTGATGCTCCCCCCTCAGAACTATGCAGATGATTCACTGTGGTTTGCGCTTGGAGGGTTTTGGTGGTGGTGGTCCTGGGGCTGGTCCTCAGGGCCAGGCGCTGTCGCTGAATTTTCTTGCTCAAGGCTAGTGATATCATTTTGAGCCACAGCTCTACTTACAGTTTTTGGAGAGGTTAATTGGAGATAAGAGTCTCCTGGGGACTTTTCTGCCTGGATTGGCTACGAACTGCGATGCTCACAGCTCAGGCTCCTGCGTAGCTAGGATCACAGGCGTGAGCCACCGATGTCCTTCTCATATTCTTTTGTTGTTGGCGTCAGGGCCTGGGTGCTGTCCCCTGAGCTCTGTTTGCTCAAGGCTAGTGCTCTACCACTTTGAGCCACCATGCCATTTCCAGTTTTCTAGTGATTAATTGCAGATAAGAGTTTCATGGATTTGCCCACTGGGGCTCACAGTGCTCAGATCTCAGTCTCCAATGTTGCTCTGTTTACAGACATGAGCCACCAGTGCCCAGAACCACAGATTAAGATAATCCAAGACGGGATGTTGTCCACAAAATTATGTCTGTCTGCTGTCTGTCTATCTTCTATCTGTCTCTGTCCATCTGTTTGTCTGTCTTTGTTTCTCTGTCTCTGTCTCTCTCTCTCTCTTTTGGGCTGGTATGAGGGCTTAGACTCAGGCTGGCACTGTTACTGAGCTTTGTCTCTCAAGGCTAGCTTCTCTACCACTTGAGCCACAGTTCCGCTTCCCATGGACTTTTCTCTCGGGGCTGGCTTCAAACTATGATCCTCAGATCTCAGCCTCCGAGCATGAGCCACTGGCTTTCCCTCTCCTCCTCTTCTCTCCCCTCCCCTTTTCTTCACTTCTCTTCCCCCTCCTTTCCTCTCTTCCCCTCCTCTTCCAGCAACTTCTGTGGATGGAAGCCAGGGACTGGAATGCTAAGCACATGCTCATCCGCTGGGCCACGCCGCAGCCCCGTGTCTGTCCTTGTGCTGCCCCTTGCTCTGACGATGGATTCTCGGGCTGCGTGTCACCCATGCCCACGGGCCCCCCCTTGTGCTGCAGGCCAAGTGTTCCTGACGGAAGTCCAGCTCCCATCTGTGCAGCCCGGGCCCGGGCCTGCTCCGCCGGCCGCCTGGGTAGAGGCTTGCTCCTGTCCCCGGGGCTACACGGGCCAGTTCTGCGAGTCCTGTGCTCCGGGATACAAAAGGGAGACGCCCCAGGGGGGGCCCTACACCCGCTGTGTCCCCTGCACCTGTAACCAGCATGGCACCTGCAACCCCAACACAGGTGAGTCCCCCAAAACCTAGCAAATGGCTCCACTGGCCCCAGCATCAGCCTGGCACGGCACCGCGCCCCTGGCACCGGTGTGTGGACTCGCCGTCCTCATCCCATGTCCAGCCCCTGGCGCTGCCACACAGCTGTGAGGGAGGGCAGAAGCTCCTGGGCGTCACCCCAGAGCCACCAACCTGCCACGCTTACCCCCAACCCGTGGACAGTGCTCACACCGCCTTGAGGACCAGGCTACACGGAGGGCAGGAGACACCAGGCCCAGGCTGCCGCTAGCTGGCGAGCTTGGGGTATCAGCCTGGGAATGTGGGGGCACAAGTCCTTTCAGGGCCTGGGGAGATCATGTGACACTACCACCCCTCTTCCTGGTGGGCTCTGCTTCCCCTCCGGCTCCGCAGACCCCGTCTCCTGAGTTGCAGGGAGGCTGCATGGCCACCAGGTGGCAGAGCTGTGCCTTCCACCAGCCAGAGCACGCTGGTCACTACCAGCGCTGGTCTCCACCTGCAGAGGAGTCCACTGATAGAGACGCGGCCAGGAGGGAGGGTGGGCAGGACACAGGCTTCTCTCCACCTCTTGCACCTTGGCCTTTCACACCAAGTCACTTGCTGCTTTCCGAGAGCAGATGGAGTCTCTGGTACTCCCAGCCCAGGAGAGGCCTCCCTTGCTGTACCTGTGTCAGACATCACCAGTGGAGCCCAGAGGAGGCCTCCCTTCCTATGCCCATGGCAAGCATCACCAGTGGAGCCCAGAGGAGGCCTCATCATCTTTCCCAGACAGTGCTCAGGCAGCCTGTACAGCAGAATGCAGCGCATCCTCTCTCATGAGATGAGACACTTATTTTTTGTGTGTTGTTTCTGTCCTCAGAGCCTCTGGCTCTGCCATGGCCACCTGCCCTGTAGATAAGCCTTCATGTGTACAATGAGAGCAGCTAGGACCAGGATTGAGCCCTGAGTGCCAACCTCTTGGCTGCACCCTTGCTTGTTCAAGGCCCTGGCCCCTCTGTCCGCCTCAGCCCTGGGTGCTGGGTGCTGCACTGGTGGCTCAGGCAGCCCCACAGTGGGCCTCCCTGCTGGGCACCCCAGGCTCTAAGCAGATGCCAGGTGCTACAGGACTGGAGAAAGGGGGTGCAGAATCCTCTCTCTTCAGACACCAGGCAGGCTCTGATACCCAGCACAAAGGACGGGTGAGCTCTGCCGGCAAGCAGGGGCCGGATGCCAGGGTCTGTGCTCGGGGAGGGGAGGGGTTCCCTGTCTCCCCCTTGTTAGGAGGACAGCAAGAACAAGGGCACCTGTTGGCTCAGAGAAAGGTTTGGCGCACAGACTATTAGTGACAGTAGAAATATTGCTAGGTGTCCGTGTCATCCTAGCTACTCAGGAGGCTGAGAGCTGAGGATCTCGGTTCAAAGCCAGCCCTGGCAGGAAAGGCTGTGAGACTCTTATCTCCACTAAACCACTCAAAAACTGGAAGTGGCGCTGTGGCTCAAGTGCTAGAGAGCTCGCCTTGAGCTGAAGAGCTGAGGGACAGCGCCCAGGCCCAGAGTTCAAAGAAAGAAGGAAATATTAGCCACGTGTGTCAGGAATGTGTGGTACCTTGAACACAGGGGTCAACGGCACTGGTATCCCTGTTTTGTAGGGGAGGGGAGGGCAGGGGGAGGGCGGAGAGGTTGGGGAGGGGTGGGGAGAGGGCCGTGCGCTCCCACTCCAGGCCCGCCGGCCCGGGGGACTTCCCGGCGGAGGTGGCACTGGGCTGGTGCTGGTCTCACCCTTCAGGGGTCTGCCTGTGCGGCCGCCACACCGAGGGCCCCTCCTGCGAGCGCTGCGCGCCGGGCTTCCACGGCAACGCCTTCACCGGCCGAGCGGACGCCTGCCAGCCCTGCCCATGCCCCGGACGGTCGGCCTGCACCACCGTCCCAGACAGCGGGGAGGTGGTGTGCACCCACTGCCCCCCGGGCCAGAGAGGTGAGCGCTTTGTGGGCAGGTTGGGGGGGCCGCCCGGTGCTCCGCCCCTGCCCTGGGTCCAGGGGTGACGTCCTCAGTTTCGTTTCTGGCACGTGGGAAAGGAGCCCAGTTTAGGGGTGGTAGGCATGACTTCTGGTGGCCCCGAGCCCCCCAGTCACGGCCCCCCGGCCTGAGCATGAGTGGGTGAGCTGTGAGGAGGCCCCGCAGAGCCTGGAGTGGTGGCCTGAGGTGGAGACGAGGCCTCCATGCTCCCGCTGTGTCCCTGAGGTCCTGACGCATGGCCGACGCCTGAAACCAACCACGGTGGAACTTCTGTTAAGCTTTTAAAACACGCCCTCCAGCCGGGCGCTCGTGGCTCGTGCCGGGATCCTAGCTCCCCAGCAGGCCGGGAGCTGAGGATTGCAGCGGCAGGCAGGGCTGAAAAGTCCCTGACACCCTCCTCTCCAGTGAAACAGCAAAAAGCCGGAAGTGGAGCTGTGGCTCAAGTGGTAGCGGGCTGGCCTGGAAGGAGAAGGCTCAGGGACAGCACCCAGGCCCTGAGTTCAAGCCCCAGTCCCTGCACACACACACGCGCGCGCGCACACACACACCCAGGAACCCAACAGCATAGGCAAGCGAGGCAACCCACCCTACTTTTGCTGTTGTCACTCCGGTCCTGTGTGGCTCTTGGAGCCCGGAAGGCTCTGCTCTGTGTGGATTTGTGCAGAGATGGACCTGTGTGCAGACAGGCTGACACCGTGCCGTACAAGTTGGAGTTCAGCTTCTGAGTCCACGCTGGGTCCTCCAGCTGCCACCACACCCCACAGCTCCCACAGCGGCCAGAGGCTGGAAGGGGCCGCAGTGGCCCTGCTCAGCCAGGGCAGGGAAGGCATCCACGTGACCCCGAATGACCCACTCGAGGGACTTCAGAAAGCTCAAGAAATGGGAGGCAAAGGGGACGCGAGGATGGGGGAGGGGAGGGGGAGGAGGGAGGAAGAGGATGGTGATGAGGAAGAGGGTGAGGGGTGAGGAGGAGGGCGGTGGGGGGAAGGTGATGGCGTTGGTAGGGAGGAGTGGGGACATGAAGCTGCTCAGCATGGTTAGGTGAAGGCAGGACAGTGACTAAGCGGAGCAGAGGAGGAAGACGCCCTCCATGGTGGCCAGATGACTCCGAGGGAGAGAGGCTGGTGAGGAGGATGCTGATGGAGACAATGAGGATGGTGGCCTGGGTAGCAAGGAGGAGGCGGCGGCATCTACTGTGCCTTTTCCGTGGTCCTGCGAGGTCATTGTCTAGTCCTCCACTTTACAGACAAGCATACTGTGTCCGGAGAGGCCCTGTGGCCTGCCGAGGGCGGGCAGCCGCACTCAGATCCTGTGTGGGAACCTGGAGGAGACTCAGGAACTGGCTCAGTGTCAGGCCAGGCCGTCAGGGAGGGGGGCTGCAGGAGGCACTGGTGACCATGTCATCTCCAGGGAGTCCTGCAGGGGGCGCTGGTGAGCCTGCCACCCCCAGGGAGTCCTGCAGGGGGCGCTGGTGAGCATGCCACCCCAGGGAGTCCTGCAGGGGGCGCTGGTGCGCCTGCCACCCCCAGGGAGTCCTGCAGGGGGCGCTGGTGAGCCTGCCACCCCCAGGGAGTCCTGCAGGGGGCGCTGGTGAGCATGCCACCCCCAGGGAGTCCTGCAGGGGGCGCTGGTGAGCATGCCATCCCCAGGGAGTCCTGCAGGGGGCGCTGGTGAGCATGCCACCCCCAGGGAGTCCTGCAGGGGGCACTGGTGACCATGTCATCCCCAGGGAGTCCTGCAGGGGGCGCTGGTGAGCATGCCACCCCCAGGGAGTCCTGCAGGGGTGCAGCCAGGCCTCCCCCAGGGTACGCTGGTGGCCACCTCTCCTCACCCCTGCTCCCTCCATCACAGGGCGGCGCTGCGAGCAGTGTGAGGATGGGTTTTTTGGAGACCCTCTGGGAGGCCGTGGGGCCCCCCAGCCCTGCCGCCCGTGCCCATGCAGCGGGAACGTGGACCCCAACGCCGTGGGCAACTGTGACCCCCAGTCCGGCCGCTGCCTGCGCTGCCTGCACAACACCACGGGCCCCCGCTGCGAGCGCTGTCGGGAAGGCTTCTACGGGAGCGCCCTGGCCCTGCGGCCAGCCGACAAATGCACCCGTGAGTGCCCAGCACCCCAGCCACGGGGGGCGGGGGGCTGGAGTGGGGGTCCTTAGTCTTGTCCTGTCCCATGACCCAGATCAAGTGGCTGAAGACGCCACCAGAACCAGCTAGCCGCTCAGCACCGCTGTGCAGCCCTGCTCAGGTCCCTCTCCTTCTCTGTCTCCTGGACAGAGACTGATGTGTTAGAAGCTCCGATCCCCGACTCTTCCTCTTCTGTGCTCTGGTGACATGCTCTTCCCATGGAAGCGGAGTGGGAATCTGGGATCCCAGCTGTCTTTTTCACTGAAGGCTGGCGCTCTACTACTTGAGCCACAGCTCTACTTCTGGCTTTTGGTGGTTCGTTGGAGATAGAGTCTCATGGACTTTCCTGCCCAGGCTGGCTTTGAACTGTGATCCTCAGATCTCAGCCTCCTGAGTAGCAGGGTTTGCACAGCTGCACAGCTTGGCTGTCTCTTTAGCTGGGTCTTTACCCCTTCTTCAGGAAGGGTTGAGGAACCTGGGCTCCCCCAGCTTCTTGGCCTCTGCTGGACCCTAAATGTTAAGCAAATGCGCGGGAGAATCTCCTAAAGCCTTTCCTGCACCCCATAGCCTGCAGCTGCCATCCAGGGGGCTCCGCCAGCGAGCTGAGACCCTGCCACCCGGTGACCGGTCAGTGCACCTGCCTGTCTCATGTGACCGGAAGGGACTGTGGTCACTGCCGCCCTGGTTTTTACGACCTCCAGCCGGGGAGAGGCTGCCAAAGGTGAGCGCCAGACCGGGGTGGGGGGCCACCACTGGCTGGCTTCTCTTTTGGGAAGTGCCCACAGATGGGCAGCCTGGGGGAACAGTGGTGGACTCGAGGGAAAAGACCAAGGGAGGCAAACAGGTTTGTCCCTTGTAGGACTTCCCAGAGCCTTTGGTGTGCTCACACGCTCTGGCGTGTCCGCCAAGGCCCTGGGTGTTCGGTGTCCGTGGCCTGAGCTGGGCCGGGCGTGGCCGCGGCAGCTCACGCCCGGTTCTCCCCACGCACACAGCTGCAAGTGTCACCCACTGGGCTCCCAGGAGAATCGGTGTCACCCTGAAACGGGCCAGTGCCCCTGCCGCCCGGGGGTCACCGGCCAGGCCTGCGACAGGTGCCAGCTGGGCTTCTTCAGCTTTTCTGCCAAGGGCTGCCGGGGTAAGCGAGCAAGGCTCTCCCGGGGGCGCCCGCCTTTCCTGAGCTCAGGTCTGGGGGACACTGAAGTGTGGCCATCTCCACTCTGATCTGCTGGGAGGCCCCAGGGAAGGGCCGAGGACTCTGCTCTTGGGGCCATGGGATTCTGGGGGTCCCCCAAGGTATCCGGGAGCAGGGCGGGTGTCAGGGCAGGACAGCCCTGGAGACACTCAGCCCCTCCCCCCCCCCCCGCAGCTTGCAGGTGCTCCCCGCTGGGCGCCGCCTCCGCCCAGTGCCACGAGAACAGCACGTGCGTGTGCAGGCCCGGCTTCGCGGGCTACAAGTGTGACCGCTGCCAAAGCAACTTCTTCCTCACGGCAGACGGCAGCCACTGCCAGGAGTGCCCGGCCTGCTACGCCCTGGTGGAGGAGGGGGTGAGCTGCCCGGGCCGCCCCGCCTTGCCCTGCGTTCCACGCGCCCCTTCTGTGAGCGCCAGCCCCGGGCGGGACTCGGAGGCCAGCATGCTCAGCCACAGCCCCTGGCCTCCTGTGCCTGCCGGCAACCTCCCACTGCTGCCCACCCGCCACCTCTCTCCTTCCTCAGCCCTTCTCCCCTCCACCTGCCGAGCTGGCCCACCCAGCCTCTGGGCTCTTCCCCATTCCCAGTGGGCAGGACTAAGGGAGGTCCTGACCTCCTGGGCCTTCTGAGTTCAGTGGGGATGAGGTGATGGAGGACACCTCACAGGGAGGAGACACCATTCCGGATGCAAACCACTGTTTTGTTGGTCATGGGTCTCGAACTCTGGGCCTGGGCACTGTCCCTGCGCTCTTTAGCTCAAGGCGAGCACTCTACCACTTGAGCCACAGCGCCACTTCTGATTTTCTGGTGGTTTATTGGAGATAAGAGTCTCGAGAACTTTCCTGCCCAGGCTGACTTTGAACCACGATCCTCAGATCTCAGCCTCCTAAGTAGCTAGGATGAAGGCATGAGCCACTGAAGCCCAGCACATACAGCATTTTGAGCAAGAGGAGGGAGGGACCAGATTCAGGAGTTTGAGCCTGGCCCCCACCCATGGACTCTTCCCCCGGCCCTGCCCCACCCCAGGGCTGTCCTGTGCATGGCGTGGTTTGCTTCCGTGCCCTCTTCCTAATCTGTATCAGAGGTATCTTGGTTCCCCGGCCCCTTCTAGGGCTCCGGTGGGCTTCCAGGATGCAGGGTGCTGTAGAGACAAGGTGCTGTGTGCTGAGTGCTAGTGCCACCCGCAGGGGTGAGCGCAGCCCTGCAGCAGCCCTGAGACTTTGCAGAGCGAGCTTATTTGCACAACTTGCATCAGGAGCTGACCCCCTCCTGTGTGCCTGAGCAGATTCAGGGCAGATTTTGCCACGGAGAAAGGGAGGGGGGGCTTAGGTTTATCAGAGGAGTCAGGACTCTGCGGCCTGGCCCTCGCTAAGGCCCTTGTTTGAGCCGGGCTGTGGCAGGCATCTACTGCTGGGCAGACTGCTGTGTGCCCCACTCCTGTGGTTGCCGTGTGTGTGGTTAGAAGCTGGGGTTCGGAGCCGGGCACTAGTGGCTTATTCCTGTAAGCCTAGCTACTCAGGAGGCTGAGATCTGAGGTTCAAAGCCAGCCTGGGCAGGAAAAGTCCGTGAGACTCTGATCATCAGGTAACCGCCAGAAAACCAGAAGTGGTGCTGTGGCTCAAACTGGTAGAGCGCTCGCCTTGAGCCAAAGAAGGGACAGCGCCCAGTTCTTGAGTTCACATGACTGACCAAAATAAAAAGAGTGTAAGGCCCTGAGTTCAAGTCCCAGCATCAGCAAGCAGGGGCTCGGGACAAAGCGTGGCAGACTCATGGGTGCCCGTGGCAGCCGCTGCGCCTCAAGTGTCCGTCTGTGGAGGGCTGAGAAAGGAAGAAGGGAGGCAAGGGGGGAGGGGCTCGGCCCTGAGATGGGAGCCGTGGGGAGGGCAGGCTGGACAGACCCCAGGAGTGGGGTCCCGCAGGGCTTCCCGGACCTCAGCCCCACACGCCCGCGCCTCCGGTCCCCTGCAGGTGGCCAAGCTGAAGGCCAGGCTGGCGCTGGTGGAGGAATGGCTGCAGGGGTCTGACTGCAGCAGTCCCTGGGAGCCCCTAGACATTCTTCAGGAGGAGACCCCGCGGGGGGACGCCTACCAGCGCCACCTGCTGCCAGGTACGAGGGTAGCAGCGCGGGAGGCCGGGAGCTGCCTGGGGAACTGGAGGCTTGCACGGCGCTCGGGAGTCTTTTTTTTTTTTTTTTTTGCCAGCCCTGGGGTCTGAACTCAGGGCCTGGGTGCTGTCCCTGAGCGTTTCTTTTACCCAAGGCTGGTGCTGTAGCACTGAGCAGTCCCTGGAGGCCTCTCTGAGGGCTGGCTATTTTGAGATAAGGTCTCCCTTCTTGTGCATGCCTGGACTGCAGTCCGCCGGTTTTAAGCTTCATGTCTTAGCTGGGGTGGCAGGTGGGCCCCGCCACACCCAGCTTGTTCTATTGAGAGGGAGTTTTGCAGACTTTCCTACCTGGCTGGCCTAGAGCTGCTCGCTTCCTGTTCTCAGCTTTCTACAAATCTAAGATGATGGTCAGGCCCCATGGTGGAGACGGGATCTCTCACATGTCTGCATCACTGGCCTCAAACTTTGGGCCTCTTATCCCCAGCCTCCCAAGAGCTAGGATGACAGGCTTGAGCCAGAATTAGGCAAATCTGTAGACAAACAGTGGATGAGGGGTTGCTGGGGGCTGGATGGTTTAAAGGGAAATGGAGGGATGCTGGAAACAAAACAGATGCTGGGGTTTAGGGATAATAAACATATTCTAATAATAACGATAAATAATAATAATAAACATGCGATTCTGGCAACGTACAGAAACCACTGAATGGCACAGCTGGTGCGGTCACTCCAGGGGACAGTGCGGCCCAGGGCCATTGTTCAGAGTCTCCGCTGCTCTGTGACCCGGGCTGTGGTGCTTTCCGCAGGGGCCCGGGAAGCCTTTCTGCTCCAGATGACCGGCCTGGGGCGAGCTGTGAGGGCCGCAGGGGAGCAGCTGCGGGCGCTGGACACGAGCGCCCGCTGCGACGGGAAGACCTGCAGCCAGCTGGCCGACCTCAGGGTGGCGCTGGCGGCCTCCGAGGAGGAGATCCTGCAGGCGGCCTCCGTGCTCACCTACCTGGTACCCTGGCCCTGCCCTTGACCTGCTGACCTCGGGGTGCCTGGCCCTTTAGGGGAGACCTAGTGTCCCCTTCAAGTGGGGGTGGAGGGGGGGGGTGGAAAAGGTCTCACGGGACGTCCCTCCCTGGCTGATGAAGGCCTTGTGTGCAGACAGAGCTCGTTAGCCGCAGCCCGCGAAGGCCCAGTGACTTTCTCTACATGCCCAGCTCCAAACCCACTTGGTGGCTAGCGTGGCATCATGTAAAATTCCTGGCACCTCCCGATTCTGCCCAGTGTAGCCAGCTGTGGCTGGGCCTCAGCCCTCATCCCCCCATACCCCCCATCTGTACAGGTGAGGCTCCCGGAAGGACCTGGCCACCCCACCAACTGGAGCCACCTGGCCACAGAGGCACGGGCCTTCGCCAGGAGGTGAGCCCCGGGGTGGGGCGGGGCGGGGCAGGCCCTGCCCCTCACTCCCCAGGGAGACCTCAGAGGGGCTCCAGGGTGACCAGCAGCCCACGGGAGCTGCCCAGTGGGGCACGGATGTCGGGGGAAGCGGGCGTAGAGGTGGAGGCCCAGGCTCCTGAACACCAACAGCATCTGCACTTCTGATTGCCTTTCCAAAATCACAGCTTTAGGGGGCCAGGAAGGTGGCTCAGTGGTAGAGCGCTTGCCTGGCATGCCTGAGGCCCTGGGTTCGATTCCACAGCACCACATAAACAAAAAAAAAGCCGAAGTGGTGCTGTAGCTCAAGTGGTAGAGTGCTAGCCTTGAGCTGAAGAGCTGAGGAGAGCGCCCGGGCCCAGAGTTCAAGCCCCTGACAGACATAAACAAAAATCACAGCTTTAAACTGGGCACCTGTGGCTTGTGTTGGAATCCTTGCTACTCAGAGGCTGAGCTCTAAGGATCATATTTCAAAGCCAGCCCAAAAGAATAGTCTAGGGGACCCTTATCTTCACTTAACTACCAAAAAGCCAGAAGTAGAGGTATGACTCAAGTGGTAGAGCTCCAGCCTTGAGCAAAAGAGCCAAGCCAGAGCATAATACCCCGGATTCAGGCCCCCAGTGCCAGTAAGATCGTGTGCACATGCGTATGTGCACGTGTGCGCGCACACACACACACACACACACACACACACACACACAGAAAGAAAAGATAGAAAGGCTCATCCACATTGTAGCATACATCAGTACTTTGTTCCTTCTTCTGGCTATATAATATTCCAATCTCTGAATGTACCTCATTTTGTTTACCCTGTCATCCAGAAGTCGATGTTTAGGTTGTTTTTATCCACTGCCTTTAAGAACTAGTCTATGAGGGTTGGAGGCAGAGGTCAGGTGATAGAGCATCAAACAATGAGCAAAATTATTAGATCAAAAGTTTGAGTCTCAGACAAAAAGAAGAAGGAAGGAAGGAAGGAAGGAAGAGCTTATGATCCTAAAATCTTAAGATCTGTAGCAATTTTTATCTTGGCCTCTAGGAACTTCACAGTCATTTTACAGATGAGGGAACTGGCTCAGAGATGTCAGGTGTCTTGCTTGAGGATGCACAGCTTTGAAGTGATAGAGCCAGGACCGCCCCCCCCCCCGTGCCGCTCTCTTGGCCGCTCTCCCGCACTGTACATGAGAGTGACCTGACCGTATGATCCGTTGGCCCAGCTGTGATGCCTTCAGGGGTGGCGAAAGCCTTGTCTGTCCCCGTGCTGGGACAGAGGAGGGCTGTGGGCACCCCGGCCGGTCCCCACCATGTGGCAGGCAGAAGGGAGGCAGTCCAGAGGAGGCCCGTGGAGCGGGGCGTGGCCCGGGCTCTTGGTGAGGCTTGGGGTGATTCACAGCCACAGGGACACCGCGGCCCAGGTGGAGGCCGCCGCGCAGCGCGCCCTGCTGGCCTCCAACACCAGCGCCCTGCTGCTCTGGAGCCTGGTGGACGATCGCGAGGCCCTGGAGGCCCGGCGGGAGCTGGAGGACAGGTAAGGCCTCCCCAGGAGAGGGTGGAGGCTTGGGCTCACCCTCCAGAGCTCATGGGGCCCAGCCAGCAGCTGCCGGTCCTACAGCCAGCTTCCCGGGAGCCCCGACGATCGGGGCGCCGGACGTCTACGGCACAGTCCCAGTGCGAGCCTGGCGTCCGGGGATGGAAGGGCGAGAATGATCCAGAGCAGCTCGCCTCTTCCCTCTGCCCCCCAGCGGTCCTGTGTCTCCCCTCCCAGACCCGCACCCCCATGGCCACCTTCTCTGCTCTGGAGGGCTTCTTCAGTTCAGAGGCCAGTGACGCCCACAGCATTGAGAGAGTCTGATTGGCTCTCTGGGATTGCGTGTCCATGGGGCAGGGACCGGGCCGGGCCTGCTGTGGACAACTGGACAGCACAGGGGACACACCCTGCTTGAACCCCTGCTTGAACCGAGGGCCAAAGGGCCCGGCAGGGTCACGCAGCCAGGGCAAGCTCCGCCATCAGTTAGTGATTATGACATGGCTGAGGTCACCAGCAAGGGCCTGGGCAAGTCCCCTACGCGGGCCACTGGGCCTCCCTGTCCGCTTTGCTGCCCCGCCCATCCTGACCTCTGACCTCTGTTGCTTCCCAGGTACCAGGAGGTCCAGGCGGCCCAGCACGCACTGGACACGGCTGTGGCGGAGGTGCTGCCCGAAGCTAAGCGGGTGCTAGCCACAGTACAGCATCTCACAGTTGATACGGCTCCACGCCTGGCCTTGCTGGCTGCCCCCGGGGTGCCGGTCAGTTGGAAACCCTCAGAGATCTGCATGATGCAGGATGGGGGTTCTAGCAGCTGGGGGAGAGCCCCCCACCTCCCAGGCCGCTCTGGCCCCTTCTCTGTCCTGGTGACATTAGCAAGGATGCCAGAGGGACGGATGTGGAAGTCCCAGCTCTGTGACCTTGGCCCAAGCCACAGCGACCTTGTGGGCATCAGGGACCTCACTCACCAATGAGGCTGAGCTGCTCCAAAGACCCAGGGCTCATCCTTGTCAGTGGTTTAACCTGAAATCCCCACGCTTAGAGACTCTGCCGTGGGGGAGCCCTAGGCTGGCTGGGGTGCAGCTCCATGGCAGAGCGTGTGCTGAGTGAGCCCAGGCTGCTGGTCCCATCCCTGGCAGTGGAAAACCAAACGCGGCAAGCTTAACCAAATGCATCCGGGACGCAGCTAGCATGGAGGGTGCAGCTCACAGGCAGATTTTTGCACGGTCCACTCTTCCAGAGTGTAGGAAATTCTGATTGTGAAGAGCATGCGCCAGGGTTTCTCGGGAGGGAGATGGAGGAAATACGGGTTAGGCAGATTGGCTGGAGTGGCCCCAGGCCACCTAGAACTGATGGGGCTGAGCCTCCCAGCGCAGCGCCCCGCCACATGCAGCCACAGCCTCCCCGTCTGCCCCTCGGAGGTGCTGGGGAGCATAAGGAAGTTGTCCGAGTCTGACAGAAATGGGGATTTGGCCCCCAGGACTTGTCTGAGCCCATTGCCACATCCCCCCCCCCGCCCCCAGCCTCAGAAGTCACCAGCCAGAGACCTGGGGTTGAAAGTTCGGGCCCTGGAGCAGACTGTGGCATGGAGAGAGCGAGCAGCCACCAAGCGGGTAGAAGCCTTGCAGGCCTCGGCCCGCACGGCCCTGCAGGAGACGGAGCCGCTCACACGGGTCAGCTCTTGTCCTTTTCTTCTTTATTGTTTGTTTATTTCTTGTTTGGTTGGTTGGTGGGGTTTGCCCCTATTGGGTTTTGAACTCAGGTCCTCATTCTTTTGAATGACTCTTTCCCTTCAAGGCTAGCTCTCTACCATAGCCAAACTTCCGGCTTTTTGATGGTTAGCTGGAGATAAGAGTCTTACGGCTTTCCTGCTGTGACTGGCTTTGAACTGCAGTCCTCAGATCTCAGCCCCCTAGGTAGCTAGGATTACAGGCAGAAGCATCCAGCAGCTTTGTCTTTGAACCTGACACCAGGAGGCAGCAGGGGCTGCCCTGGAAGAGGATCTGGACTCAGAGGTCAGGGCAAAGCCAGGAAGGAGCTCTCTCTATTTCTTCCCAAACTCTAGAAAACCTAAGAGGGCCAGGCGCCGGTGGCTCACATCTATAATCCTAGCTACTTAGGAGGCTGAGATTTGAGGATCACGGTTCAAAGCCAGCCCAGGCAGGAGTGTCTGTGTGACTCTTATCTCCTGTTAACTACCAGACAACCTGGAGTGGCGCTGTGGCTCAAAGTGGTAGAATGCTAGCCTTGAGCTGAAGAGCTGAGGGACAGCGCCCAGGCCCAGAGTTCAAGCCCCATGACCAACAAAAAACAAAACAAAACTTCAGAGGACAGACAGGTAGACAGGTGGACAGGTGGGTGGATAGAACCCAGGCCCTGACCCATCTTAGGATCGGTGTAAAGTGACACAGCCTGGTGTTCACAGTTAAGGAGAGACCCCTGTTAGATGATTAGACTTTGCCAGAGAGCCATGCATAGAACAAAGAAAGTTTATTGCTGGGAAGGGGAGTTGGCAAGACCCTTCTCACAAGAGAGAAAGGAGAAGCAGCGCCGGCTGTTGTCTGGGGTGACCTATATCACCTAGGAGGTCTAGGAGGGGCTGGAAGGGGCTAGGAGGCAGAGACCCCGGTGTGGACGCGTGGGTCGGGGGCTTCATCATGGCGGACTAGGATTGATGGCTGCTGCCCAAATAGTAGACAAGAGGGCTGGGAAGGTGGCTCAGTGGTAGAGCGCTTGCCTTGCATTCATGAGGCCCTGGGTTCAATTCCTCAGCACCACATAAGCAAAAAAAAAAACGGAAGTGGTGAGTGTGGCTCAAGTGGTAGAGCACTAGCCTTGAGCTGAAGAGCTGAGGGACAGTGCCCAGGCCCAGAGCTCAGGCCCCATGACCGGACCCCCCCCAAAAAAAAACCAAACAAACCAAATAGTAGACAAGAGTCCTGCAGCTGCCCAGAGCTGAAGGTCACTGTAAGGGGCTCTTGCTGCCTTCTATGGTGGAAGCTGCCCCAGAGAAGTGTCATCCCGAGTAAAGGGGGCTGGCGGCTGATGATTCACTGCCTTTACTACAGGGCCCTGGTGTTGCCTGGAAGGGAGCGTGCCAAGCTGTGGGAGGGGAAGGGGACTAAGCTATGGGAAGGGAGCGCATTGGGCTAACAAACCCTGTGTAGTCGGGGATCAGGGAGAACAGCATAGGGATTGGATGTGGGACAGTCTCTCCTTCCCTTCTTAAAGCAATTTCCAGACAGGTGTCATTGTTCTGTTTTTTGCATTTTTTTGTTTTGTTTTGTTTTTGTCGGTTGTGGGGCCTGAACTCTGGGCCTGGGCGCTGTCTCTGAGCTTTTATGCTCAAGGCTAGCGCTCTACCACTTGATCCATAGTGCCACTTCCAGTTTTCTGGTAGTTTACTGGAGATAAGAGTCTCATGGGGGGCCAGGAAGGTGGCTCAGTGGGTGAGTGCTTGCCTTGCATGCATGAGGCCCTGGGTTCGATTCCTCAGCAACACATAAGCAAAAAGAAAAAAGCCGCAAGTGGCGCTGTGGTTAAAGCGGTAGACTGCTAGCCTTGAGCTGGAGAGCTGAGGGACAACACCCAGGCCCAGAGTACAAGTCCCACAAAACCGGCAAAAGAGAGAGAGAGAGAGAGAATCTCATGGACTTTCTGGCCTGGGCTGGCTTTGAACCGTGATCCTCAGATCTCAGACTCCTGAGTAGTTAAGATTACAGGTGTGAGCCACCAGCGCCCAGCTTCATTGTTCTATTTTCTTTCTTTTCTTTTTTTTGTCAGTCGTGGGGCCTGAACTCTGGGCCTGGGCGCTGTCCCTCAGCTCTTCAGCTCAAGGCTAACACTTTACCACTTGAGCCACAGCACCACTCCGGCTTTTTTCTTTTTGCTTATGTGATGCTGAAGAATCGAACCCAGGGCCTCAGGCATGCAAGGCAAGCGCTCTACCACTGAGCCACCTTCCTAGTGCCATTGGTCTATTTTCATATATGCCTCCCCCTGCCTCCCACCCCCAGCCCCGGGAGCCCCAGCCTCCTGTTTGCTTTCCTGACTTTTTTTTTGTAGTGTGCATTAATTGCACCCAGGGGTTTCACTACTGCACATATATTTTTATACCCCCACATACATACACACAACACATCCCCCAATGTAAAAACAGAAAACAACTTCGTTTGGGAGCCATTTTAAAGGTGGGTAAGGTTACAGGGAGCACAGATGCCCGCACCAGCTGCTCGGGAGCCGCTGCCTTCCTCCAGACACAGGAAACAGGTTCTGTGGAAGTGAGGGACAGCCAGGCGCTGGTGGCTCACGCCTGCAAGCCTGGCGACACAGGAGGCTGAGATCTGAGGATCCCAGCTCAAAGCCGGCCTCGGTGGGAAAGTCCAACTTACCAGAAGCGGAGCTGTGGCTCAAGTGGTAGAGCACCAGCCCCGAGTATGAAGAGGGACACTGTGTCTCGGGAGTGGGGCCTGGGGCCCGGCGTGTTCCCGTGGAGCTTGGCTGTGTTGGGGGTCCCCCGCTGGTCTCGTCCACTCCCATTATCCCAGGTGAGCAGGCAGGAAGCCGGGCGACTCCCGGCCCTTCTGAGAGCAGCAGACCACTCAGGGCCAACCATGTTCAAGTTCCGGCCCCCCACCGCCCCCATTCCCTTCCCTGTCCACCTGCCCCCGCTGTGCATGCGCAGTGTCCAGTTCTAGAAAGTGTTTCTCATCCTAAGAAAACCGTTCCCCACCAGCTGTCCTTCGGGGGGCCACCGCAGCCCTGCCAGCAGCCCTCCGCTCCCTGTCCCGACACTCGCCTGCCCTCTGCCTGCCACACAAGTGTGCACACGCGGCCTTCCGTGTCACCTCCTTCCCAGCAACGGGGGTCACCTACCTCTCAGCCTGGATCAACGAGCCATTCTCTTGGTTCCAGAAGGTTCCATTATGTGGTAGACCACATCTTCAGTGTCCAAGCACTGTCCCTGAGCTTTTCCCCAAAGGCTGGTAGTCTACCACAGGAGCCACTGCTCCATGTCCAGCCGTTTGCTGATTAACCAGAGATGTGCTCAAGCTGGCTCTGAACCAGGTTCCTCAGATCTCCGCCTCCTCAGTCTCTAGGATGACAGGTGTGAGCCATCGATGCCTGGCTAAACCTTCTCCACCTGTGTGCCTGCCAGACCCACGTTCTGGATAAAACCTGTGCTGGGCCGGGCACGGGTGGCTCACACCTGTCATCCTAGCTACTCAGCAGGCTGAGATCTGGGGATCGCAGTTTAAAGCCAGCCCGGGCAGGAAAGTCTGTGAGACGCTGATCTCCAATGAAAACCAGAAGTGGCGCTGTGGCTCAAGTGGTAGAGCACTAGCCTTGAGCTGAAGAGCTGAGGGACAGCGCCCAGGCCCAGAGTTCAGACCCCACGACACCACCAACAAAAGCCTGTGGTGCCACGGGGCCGCTGTCTTCCTGAGGAGGGCCAGCCGTCCTGGGCGGGGCCCGGGGCTCCTTTGGCCTCTGAGCTGCTATGGGATGGGTCTTCTTGGTAGAGACTTGGGGATTTGAACTCATAACGAGATACTCCAGGTGGTAGCTGATAACTGGCCCCTGCTTTCTTCCCTCCAGCTGCGCCAGGAGGCCACAGCGGCCCTGACCCGCGCGTCCGCAGCCGTCCATGCCGCCACAGTGACCGTCACCGGAGCCAGGACCCTGCTGGCTGACCTGGAAGGTATTGGTGCTTCCCCGGGGCTGTGGGCTGTGGGCTGCATGAGCCTGGGTCCCCTGACACACCCTGGCTCTAGGGTTCAGTTACAGAACACCTTTGGGGGACGGGCCCCCAGCACCTCCAGACCACGCGCAGAGCTCCTGGGGACCCTTGGGAAGAGAAGTCACAGTGCTGCTGTCCACACCCAGACGAGCCCCTGCTGGCTGGGAGCTCGGTTCCCTGGGCAAATATGGCCTCCTTACTCCTTTAGAAAGCAGCGCAGGCTGTTCTGAGCCGTCCTTCCATGTTCTCAATGGAAATGAGCCGCTTTGGTCCTGCTCCATAATCCACACCAAGAGTAACCTCCAACCGCAAACCCACACCCCCCTCCTCTCCTCCACCCAGCTTCCCAGACGCCTTCCCCTCTCTCAGCTTGCAAGATGCCCCATAAAAATATGGAGCCGAGGCTCACGCCTGTAATCCTAGCTACTCAGGAGGCTGAGATCTGAGGATCGAGGTTCAAGGCCAGCCTGGGCAGGAAAGTCCCCATGATACTTTTTTTTTTTCTGCTCAGTCGTGGGGCTTGAACTCTGGGCCTAGGCGCTGTCCCTGTGTTCTTCAGCTCAAGGCGAGCGCTCTACCACTTGAGCCACAGCGCCACTTCCAGTTTTCTAGTGGTTTATTGGAGATAAGAGTCTCACAGACTTTCCTGTCCAGGCTGGTTTTGACTCGTGATCCTCAGATCTCTGACTCCTGAGTAGCTAGGATTACAGGCGTGAGCCACCAGTGCCTGGCTTCCCCATGATACTTTTATCTCCAATGAACCACTCAGAAAACCAGAAGTGGAGCTGTGGCTCAAGTGGTAGAGTGCTAGCTTTGAGCTGAAGAGTTGAGGGACAGCGCCCAGGCCCAGAGTTCAAGTCTTATGGCCAACCAAAAAAAAAAATTGAGGGGTTGGGAAGGTGGCTCAGTGGTAGAGCGCTTGCCTTGCATGCCTGAGGCCCTGGGTTCAATTCCTCAGCACCATATAAGCAAAAAGAAAAAAGCCAGAAGTGGCGCTGTGGCTCAAGTGGTAGAGTGCTAGCCTTGAGCTGAAGAGCTGAGGGACAGCGCCCAGGCCCAGAGTTCAGGCCCCACGACTGGACCAGAGAGAGAGAGAGAATGCCAAGAGCTGAGAATGTGGCTTAGCCGTAGAGTGCTTGCCTAGCCCTGGGTTCAATTCCTCAGCACCACATACACAGAAACGGCCAGAAGTGGTGCTGTGGCTCAGTGGGTAGAGTGGTAGCTTTGAGCAAAAACAGATGCTCAGAGACAGTGCCTAGGCCCTGAGTTCAAGTCCCAGGACTGGCAAAAAAAAAAAAATAGAGCCAAATAGAATGTGGTGGTGCATACCTTTAATCCCAACACTTAGGAGACAAGAGGATGACAAGTTCTAGGCTGGCCTGGGTCTTCTGTGGAGTTTTCTGACTTTAATAGGTGATAAGCATATTACGTAGGCCTTGCGTATTGCCAGTCATGCGTGATGCCATATGTGCCCTTGGAATGCAGTGAGCATAGTGTCACGGTTCTCCGGGGGCATTGCAGGAATGAAGCCGCGGTTCCCACAGCCTCGGGACCGGGCCACGCTGCAGAGGAAAGCAAGTGTAGTCCGGGGCAGGCTCCTCGCAGACACGAAAAAGAAGACCAAGCAGGCAGAGAGGATGCTGGGAAATGCGGCATCTCTCTCCTCCAGCGCCAGGAAGAAGAGCAGAGAAGCAGAGCTGCTGGCGAAGGACAACGCCAAGGTCAGAGGCAGGGCGACAGCCACGGCCACATCTTCCTGCGTTCCAGGCCATAGGACTGTCACTTAACATCTGCCCTCCTGCAGCTTCAGCGCCCTGAGATCCGCCCCCACCCAGTGACCAGGGCTATGGCTAGGGTCTCCACTGGCAGCTCATGAACTAATGCCATTGCTGTCCTCATACACTCAGGCCCAGCTAAGTTTAGCTTTATTAGCAAAACCTTTCCTTCCTTCCTTCCTTCCTTCCTCCTTTTTTCTTTTTTTTCTGATAGTACTAGGGCTTGAACTCAGGGCCTGGGCACTGTCCCTGGGCTTGAACTCAGGGCCTGGGCACTGTCCCTGAGCTTTTTTTTTAATGTATATTTTATATTTTTTTATTGGAAAGATACTGTGCAAAGGGGTTACAGTTACAAGAGTAAGGTAATGAGTACATTTCCTATCGAGCATTGTTACTCCCTCCTTTATTTACCCCTACCATCCATCCCCTCCCTCCCCACCTCCCCTCTCACCCTACCCCCCACACACACAGATGTAAAATTCATTTTCAACAAAATAAGGATACAGGTTGTCCCTGGGCTTTTTTTTAGGGGGGGGGTCCGGTCGTGGGGCCTCAGCTCTTCAGCTCAAGGCTAGCGCTCTAACACTGAGCCATAGCACCACTTCCAGTTTTCTGGTGGTTCATTGGAGATAAGAGTCTCACAGACTTTTCCTGCCTGGGCTGGCTTTGAACCGCCACCCTCAGATCTCAGCCTCCTGAGTAGCTAGGATGACAGGCGTAAGCCACCCATGCCCGACTTTTCCTTTTTTTTTTTTTTAGCTTACATTAGTTATACATAAACTTCTAGTTTCTTTTTGTTTTCTTCTCCTTCCCCCTTCCTTCCCTTCCTCTTTCCTTCCTTCTTTCCCTCCTACCCTCCTCTCCTTCCCATGGTACCAGGCTTTGAACTTGGAGCTCTACACTTGAGTCACACCTCCAGCCCTTTTTACTTTTAGGTTAATTTTCAGATAGATCCTGGCTTTTTTTTGCCCAGGCCAGCCTCAGACCACGCCCATGCCTCCCTTGTAGCTGGGGCCACAGGCCTGAGCCTGTGTCCAGTCCAGGCTTCTCTCCCAGCCCTGTTGCTGGCTGTGTTACCCCAAGTGAGTTGCCTTTATGTAGATTTTGAATAGGCTCTGTGTGTGTGTGTGTGTGTGTGTGTGTGTGAATATTGGGGCTTGAACTTAGGGCTAGGGTGTTAGTGCCTTCACTTTACTGTTCAAGGTTCCACTTTCAGCTTTTTGCTGATTAATTGGAGATAAATAGAACTGGTGGCTCACACTTGTAATCCTAACTACTCAGGAGGCTGAGATCTGAGGATCAAGGTTCACAGTCTGCCTAGGTGGGAAAATCCATGAAACCTGTATCTCCAATTAACCACCAGAAAACTGGAAGTGGAGCTGTGGTTCAAAGTGGTAGCGCACTAGCCTTGAGCAGAAAAGCTCAGAGACAGCACCCAGACACTGAGTTCAAACCCATGACCTACAAGAGAGAAAGAAAAGGTGGGGCTGGGAAGGTGGCTCAGTGGTAGAGCGCTTGCCTTGTATGCCTGAGGCCCTGGGTTCGATTCCTCAGCACCACTTAAGCCGGAAGTGGCGCTGTGGCTCAAGTGGTAGAGAGCACTAGCCTTGAGCTGAAGAGCTGAGGGACAGCACCCAGGCCCAGAGTTCAGGCCCCACGACTGGACCCAAAAGAAAAACAAGAGAGAAAGAGAAGGGGCAGGGACGGAGACTCATTGGACTTTCCTACTTAGGCTGCCTTCAGACCATGATCCTCAGCTCTCAGCCTCCTGAGCAGCTAGGATTATAGGTGTGAACGATCAGCACCGGGCAAAATAGCAAGATTTCAAGATGCCCTGGACTTGCTTTCTTGTCCTGCCACTCACACTTTGGCTCTTCTATGCCCTTGTGCCTCAGTTTCCCCATCTGCAAAAGAAGTGGAATTTCTCCTCTAGAAAAAAATGAGTGCCTTGCAGATTGATGCCCAGGACATGTTGTTTGTCCATGAGGAAGAATGAATGAACAAATGAATGAGTGATGACTGCTCGCCCTTGTTGCCTTCAGTGCATTCCCTCCAGAAGGACTTGCTCTGCTCTCCCTCCTCACAGCTTTCCAAGGCCGTGCTGAGGGCAGGGAAGCGAGGGCAGCGCCGGGCGGGTGGGCTGGCCAGCCAGGCGCAGGCCACCCTCCAGCAGGCTTCTTGGCTGGCGAGAATCTCCGGAGCTCGTCGACGGGAGCTGGAGGCAGCTGAGCAGGTAGGTGTGCCAGGGCCCCGTGCCAGTGCCCCTGTGCCTGGCAGCCAGGCGGGCGCCGCTCAAGCTGGCCCCTTCCCTCCCAGGTGAGTGCAGGGCTGAGCTCTCTGGAGCAGCACATCCGGGCATCGCACATCTCCCTGGAGAAGGACATCAAGGCCTTGTCCGAGCTGCTAGCCAGGCTGGGTAAGGCTGAGACTCAGACCCAGACCCCAAGTCCCTGGGGTCTCCTTCTCTGTCCACATCCATGGCTCCCTACCCATCCTATGATGGGTCAGACCAGAGCCAGACCCTGCACAGAGCGGGCAGTGTCTAAAATGAATTCCCTTGGAATAACTTTGTCTGTTTGTCTGGGGCTTGAATTGATAACCTGGCACTGTCTCTTAGCTCTTTCACTCACGGCTAATGCTCTAGTGCTTGAGCCTCAGCTCTACTTATGGCCTTTGGGTGTTTAATTGAAGATAAGACTCTCTCAGGGGCTGGGAAGGTGGCTCCGTGGTAAGAGTGCTTGCCTAGCATGCATGAAGCCCTGGGTCAATTCCTCAGTACCACATACACAGAAAAAGCTGGAAATGGCGTGGTGGTTCAAGTGGTAGAGTGCTAGCTTTGGACTAAAAGAAGCTCAGGGACAGTGTCTAGGCCTTGAGTTCAAGCCCCAGGACTGGCAAAGAAAAAAAAAAGTCTCCCAGAGCCAGGCACTGGTGGCTCACACTTGTTATTCTAGCTACTCAGGAGGCTGAGATCTGAGGCCTAGGGTCCCAAGCCAGCCTGGGCAGAAAAGTCCATGAGACCCTTATGTTTGATTAAATAGCCTAAAGCTAGTAGTAAAGCAGTTGTTCAAATAGTAGAGCACCAGCATTGAGGGAAAAAGTTAAGGGACAGCACTGAATCCCTGAGTTCAAGCCCCAGTACCGGCACACACACACACGTACAAAAACCTACAAAGTACCAGGAACAGCATCCACAGAAGTGACTAGCCCCCCACAGGGGCAGTTCCAAAATCTGTACATGAGCCCACAGGGAATCGGGGTCCTGCTGCTGTTAGGGCGTGCGTGCATGTGCGCATGCGTGTGTGTATGTGTCTGTCTCTCTGTCTGTCTGTCTAGCTGCTTGAGCTACACCTCCACTTCTGACTTTCTTGGTGGTTCACTGGAGATAAGAGTCTCACAGATTTTCCTGCCTGGGCTGGCTTTGAACTGCGATCCTCAGATCTGAGCCTCCTGAGTAGCTACAATTACAGGCGTGAGCCACCAGCACCCTGCTGAACTTGACTTCTACTGAGGCTGTTTGTGCTCCACTGCAGGGTCACTGGACACAGACCAAGCCCCTTCCCAGGCCTTGAACGAGACCCAGCGGGCACTTGACAGCCTGAGGCTGCAGCTGGGCTCCCAAGGGGCCCTGCACAGGAGGCTGCAGCAGCTGGAGCAGGAGTCTGAGCAGCAAAAGCAGCAGATCCAGGACTTTGAGAACGACCTGACTGAGATCCGGGCTGACAAACAGAACTTGGAGGCCATTCTGCACAGCCTGCCTGAGCCCTGTTCCAGCTGGCAGTGAGGACCCCAGGCCCCTTGCGTATGCTCCTCCCCCAGGTGTGTGTGGACATGGCGCCATCAGAACTGGCAAGCCAGGGGCCCCGAGTGAATGCTCACACCCCCTTCACAAAGTGTGCAGATCTCCCTGGCTGCCCTGTGTGTGAAGCCCTTGTGGTGTGCGCTCTGCATGCCCACACATACGCATGTGAGTGTGGGGGAGGGGGAACACATATGCGCATGCTCCCGTGACAGGCCACAGCTGTGTGCTGGGTGCCCTGTGCCTGCCGGACGGTCCCTGTGCTGTTAAATTCTCTACAGTGCTGAAGCTCTGAGCAGGGGCCCAGGCAGCCTTGGCATCTGGGAGGCCTCGTCACTGAGGGTCCCAGTGACCCAGCTGGCCTACTGCTTCCAGAAGCACAGATCACATGGAAGCCATGGCCAGCAGGGCCAATGCCTGAGGGAGCAGACAGACCAGACAATCCAAGGGCCTGGGAGGGTTCTCAGTGGGGGCATCAGCGATTCAGGGGCTCCCGCCGCCACAGCACGTCTGCTAGGCCAGCAGGGCAAGGTCCGCTCCTGGCAGGGGTGTCTTCTTTCTCCACCTTCTTCCCAGGATCTGAGTGTGCAGCAGACTGACTTACTGAAGCCACTTTCTGCCCTGGCCCCAGGCCCCTTCCATCTGGTGACCTGCTTGAAGAAGCCAGGCCCTCGGGGGTCTAGAGGGGCCTGAGAGAGGCCACCAGGAGCAACCTTATGCCCCCTGCTGACCCAGCCAGCCTGGGATGGACACTTCCTGAACTGGTCCTGTTGCCTCACCTGCCACCAAGGGCGGCCCCCGGGGCTGTGCAAGCCTGGCCGCCCTTCCCATCTAACCTTGCCCAGGGAATGCTCCTGGGGCCAGGCCCGTGGTGGGGCCCTCTTCCAGGATTCCCCCTGCATTTCCTCCCCGTGCTCTTCTCCCCTTTCCTGGGGCCTCTTCTAGCAGGCCAGGACCTTGGCCTGGGTTGACAGGGCCTTTCTGGGCCCAGTTCCTCCCCTGAGTCCAGGGAGGGACAGGCGATGAAGAGGAAATAAAGGCTTCCTTTCTGAGGTGGGCGTTGTCTGATCCTTCGCAGCTTTGGGTAGCCAGGGCCCTGGCTGTGGGTGCACGCGGGACACGCTTACAGGTGAGCCAGAGATCCCTCTGGTCCCTACAGAGAGGGGCGGGGCCAAACTGATGCACTATACCAGTGTCTGCAGCTTGGCTGGGGTCCTGTGGCTACCCCCTTTCCCTCTCATATCCAGACTAAGTCTAGGTGCCAGAGGAGCCTGAGGGATGGGGTACAGAGAGGCCTTCAGCTGACTCTGGTTCAGGGTGGAGACACAGGCTGGAAATGGTGACCAAAGCCTCAAGGCTGGGTGTGGTGGTTTATACCTGTAATCCCAGCATTCCAGAGGCACAAAGATAGAGGGTTTGAGGGCTTGTAGTGAGATAATGTTGAGAAACAAAATAAAAACTAAAGTGCAGAGTACTGTACTGCGAAGTGAAGCAGGGAGGGATCTGTCAGGCAGGAAGGCTTGGGGCCGGCCTTGAAGGGTAGGAACACAGAGGAGGGGACGGTTCAAACAAGAGGGTTGGCGGTGGCCCACAGTTACCCACTGGGGGGCCTGGTCAGCCCAGGGAATGTTTGAAAGGTAGATTGTGGAGCATCTTCTGTCTGGAATCTTAGCCACAAGGCCAAATACTTCGTGAGTTGGATTGAGCAGAAAAGGGGAGTTGGTTGGGAGGGTCTCTCGGAAGCCTGGGAAAGGTGGCCAGGACTTGGGCCCAAGCTTGAGCCTCTGGGATGGAGGACTCCCTCTTCCTCTGCCTGCTCCCCCCCAGAGGCTTGGCCTCTGCTCCCCTCTCCCTTTGCTGCAGTCTTTCCCTGAAGAGCTACTTCCTTTGTCTCACCTGCCCCCAGGCCCTGGGTTTATACGTCATCAGATCAAATGCCAGAAGCCAACTAGACACTCAGGCTGACCCCAAGCTCCCCAGGGGGAGGTGGTGTCCAGCTCTATTTAGAATGGTGTGCATCTTTGGGTCCCAGGTCATACAAAGAGAGTGACCTTTGCCTCCTGGCTAACTAGTAGAGGACAGCATTGGGAGAAGAGACAAAGGGGAGAGGCTTGGTAGATTTTTTAGGGTGAAGGTAGTCTATATTAGGATGTGAACTCAGGGCTTGACTGCTGTCCTTTAGTTCTTTCATTCAAGGCTGGTAGTGCTTTACCACTTGAACCACACTTCCACTCCAGTTTTGTTTTTTTGTTTTTTGTTGGTCGTGGGGCCTGAACTCTGGGCCTGGGTGCTGTCCCTTGCTCTTCAGCTCAAGGCGAGCGCTCTACCACTAGAGCCATAGTACCACTTCCAGCTTTTTCTACTTATGTGGTGCTGAGGAATCGAACCCAGGGCCTCATGCATGCAAGGCAAGCGCTCTACCACTGAGCCACCTTCCCAGCCCAGCCACTCCAGTTTTTTGTTGGTTAACTGGAGATGAGTCTCATGGACATTCCTGCTCAGGTTGAGCTTGAATAATCTTCGATTCTCAGCCTCCTGAGTAGCATGAGTGGCATGAGCCACTGGAGGCCCGCAAGCCAGGTACCCTATTCTTCAAAGACCTCTGGCTGTTGGGCCCCAGCTCTGACCCCTCGCTCCTCTGCTGGTTAACGCTCTGGTGCCTGCTCATCACGCTCAGTGGGAGTGGGAGTTCAGTGCAGCCCAATCCCAGCCCAGTCCCCACAGGGTGGAGACCATCCATTCCTCGGTGATGAGCCTCCGGCCTGACACAGGACACAGAGGGTTGGTCACGCCCGCTGCATGCAGAGCCCCACAAGAGGTGGAATGTGGCAGCTGCTGAACATCTGGCCAGCAATGCAGCCTAGCAGCTGAGCAATGGAAGGTGGGGTGCCCTCCACCCACTTGACGGCCAACCCGGGCCAACAGCCAGGGCAGCAGGAAGGGGGGGCCCCTGTGCTCTGTCTGTGCGCCTCCTTGGCCTCCAGTCACCCTCCACGCACTCAGGATCTGCTTAAACCACCCAGGAACTAGTCACTTGTTCTTTTGTTTTTGTTTTCGTACTGGTCCAGCGGTTTGAACGCGAGCCTGGGCTGTCCCTGTGCTTCTTTTAATTTTATTCTTTGTTGGTTGTGGGTCTTGAACTCTGGGCCTGGGCATTGTCCCTGAGCTCTTCAGCTCAAGGCTAGCGCCACTTGAACCATAGTGCCACTTCCGATTTTCTGATGGTTCATTGGAGATTAAGAGTCTCACAGAGCTGAGAGCTGGTGGCTCACGCGGGTAAAACTAGCTACTCAGGAAGCTGAGATCTGAGGATCGAAGTTCAAAGCCAGCCCCAGCAGGAAAAGTCCATGAGACTCATCTCCAGTTAACCACAAGAAAACTGGAAGTGGCGCTGTGGCTCAAGTGGTAGAGCGCTCACCTTGAGCTGAAGAACACAGGGACAACACCCAGGCCTAGAGTTCAAGCCCCATGACCGACTTTCCTGCCTGGGCTGGCTTTGAACCGGGATCCTCCGATCTCAGCCTTCTGAGTAGCTATGATGACAGGTGTGAGCCACTGGTGCCCAGCAGAAGCAATCAATTTTAATGCCTTATCTATCTCCCCCATTCTGCAGATTTGGAAACTGAGGCTCCGGACTGTACAGCTTGGCGGCATGCAAACCTTAGGTGTGTGTGGGGTGGAGGGTGATGTGTGTGAACCCGTGGAGGTGGGCGGGGGGGAGGGGGAGCCAACCCTTAGCCCCTTTGGGGCTGCGCCTCGCTCCTCTCTGGGGTAGCCTGGCCACTTCCGTGCCTAGGCGCCCCTGGAACCAGAGAGGGACAGGCGGGGTGGAGGCACCCTCGGTCCGGATCCACACCCTGGGCAGCCGGCCTTGCCGGCCTTTCCTTATGAGTGAGCTCAGGGGGGCCGCTCACTTTCCCGGGAGCCCGGGTCGGGGCCCAGGACGGAGCCCAGTGGGGCGCCGCGCTCGCAAAGCCGCACTACGTGGAGCCCAGAGCCAAGACTCGAGAGCCCGGCCCACGAGAGC